ATCTGTGATAGTAGTAATTTACACACTTACACTTTGGATTTATTTAAATAGAGCCTTTTCTTTCTCTTCATTTTAGAGGAAAGGAAGTAGGATGTACTGCTAATCTATTTTTCTTTCTGAAGTGAAAGATGGTCTTCTGAACCCTTGGAGGGACCCAGTGGAGTTGAATTTAGGTGGGATGCTCCCAGTAGATCTGGTCCAGCATTCCAGAACCCCCTGAATGAATATCTGTGCAGCAAAGATGGACTTGGAGAGGCCATGGGTTCTGGAGGCCTCCAGACTCTGGTTTTGCAGTTTGCTTTCTGCTGCCTTCACAGAGTGCCTGGATTTCTGATGTGGGCCCAAAAGTGAGGAACCAAGGCTTTTCTTTTTTAATGATGTCAGAGTCTGCCTGTCTTCAGAGCCAGGATGTGGTAGATTAAATAATGGCCACCCAAAGATATCAAGTCCTAATCCTTGGAACATGTAAATATGACTTTATTTGGGAGAAAAGCCTTTGCAGATGTGATTAAGTCAAAGATCTTGGGATGGGGAGATTATCGTGAATTATCCAGTGGGCCCTAAATGCAATCACAAGTGTCCTTGTAAATGAGAGGCAGAGGGAGGTTTGACACAGAGAGAGGAGAAGGCGGTATGAAGATGGAGGCAGAGCTTGACTGAGGTGGCCCCAAGCCCAGGACTGCTGGAGAGAGCTGGAGGAGGCACAGAGGGGGGTTCTCCCTTAGAGCGTCCAGAGGAGGGGCAGCCCTGCAGGGTTACAGCCATCTGGGCTCCAGGACTGTGAGAGAATAAATTTCTGATGTTTTAAACTGCTGGTTTGTGATGATTTCTTATACCAGCCACAGGAAATAAATCCACACGGCAAGGGCGGGTGGGTTCCCAGTCTGCAGGGGCCGTGCCAGTCCTCTGATCTGGCCCAGGAACCACAGGAGGAGGGTCATCCTTCAGTCCTGGCTGTGCGGGCCTCATCCCCAACTCCTCACCTGACTCCCACATCTTCATCTTGCCTTGTTCTCCACTCAACCATTTATTAGAAAGTTGCTGTGCACCAGGCATTGTGCCTAGTATGGAGGAACGGCAGATAAAAGAATCTTAGGTACTCACAACAAATGGGTTTAAATCAGCCCAACCTGGAAATTGGGCTTCGGGAAATTCCACCTTGGTCTTTTGGGCCTTGCTTAGCTGGGCTGGGGAGGGGACGGTGGCTTCCCCCACCCTCACCGCACCGCCGATGAGGCCGGTTCATAGTTTCCACCATGACGACGTGGATCAGCAACACCTGAGAGCCCTTAGCTCAGGGCTCTTTGTTTATCACATAGAAAACTCTCACAGAGGAGCTGGAGTTTTCCCCAAACTGCATCAGAAAGTGAATGATACTGCTGAGGGGAGTTACCCAGGTGTTAATTCAATCACCAGCAGATATTTCTAAGAAATGAAATTACTAGGCAAAAGGGATTGGTTTCAGGGGTCACAAAGCAAGAACTGAGAGGAATTTAGAGCCATTCTGCAATTACATCTAAAGCGGAACCAGAAAATGGGTGTCATCTAGACTTGGGAACATTCTGTCTTCCTCACTCGCATTTCCATAAAGAATTTCCACACACCCCAGGAGGTGGGCAGGAATAGAAGGAACGATTCCAATTCCTCTGTACCTCCCACTTGCTGCTCCTCATTGGAGGAGGATAAGATTCTACAATTGGCAGGTTGGAGACAGTTTATCATGTCATCCCTTAGACCACGTTAGCCAGAGGGATGGGTCTTACCTCTCTGTGGCCTTCTTGGGATAGCTGGAATCGCACAGTAAAAGTGCTCATGCCTGCAGACCTCTGTGGTAAGTGGCCCAAGTGGGTCTGTTTCTGCCAGGCCTAGTTATGTCCTTGCGCTCGATATCCAGGCAAGATGCCATCCTCCACACAGGTGGCCATCCCTTACGCCACTGGCCTGGTCTCAGACAGCAGAAATAAAGAGTGTGCTCATCAGTTCACAATTCTGCCCCTGAAATGCCCACTGCTGTCACTGTAGGGAAGAAAGCACAAAGGATTAAGTTAGACGAGGCAACAGCTCCAGCCAAAATACAGATAAAATGTGCTATTTTTGCTTTTTCCACCTAACATTATACCCTTCCAATGACTGAATATTTGTGCAGGTACGATGGTAGAATTAGCCATCTACTTTTTGTTTTTTTGTTTTTTTTGTTTTTAAGTGCTTTCCAAATTGTTTCTATGATGCTATTGTGCTTTAGCTCTGCTAACAACATTTCTTTCTCTCCTGCATTTTGGATTATTACCTTAGGTTAGATCTCTGAAAGTCAGCCCCACGGTCCTCCGCGACACTTTATATGTTCTTCCCAGACTCCCAAAGTTCACCTGTAGCTGAGTTCCTGTGTCCTGTGCACAGATGTGTGCTGCAGAGTGGAAGCCACACACAAAGGCTTTCTAAGTGTCTGGGCAGTTTTCCTGCTATCTCCTGTTTTCAGCATGTTCTTTGACTTCCATGGGTTCTATCTTAACACACCCTTTTGGGGCAAATTTTCATTATTATATCCCAAGGAATGGTGACAACTCCTGCTCGCCTTTACTCCAGATTTGGTGTGAAAAGGCAGGTGGGGTAGTTCTAACGGGAGGATGAAAAGTCTCTCCTGTGCTCCACCCTTCGTGCTGATAGCCTATTTTTTCCTCCCAAGCACTCTATAAGGAAGCTATAATCCTTATTTTCCATACTAAGAAGCTAAGACTGGGAGACTCATGAGCTCGGAGCCCAGGTGCATCCCAAAATTCAATAGCAGTAATGTTGGCACTCCTCATTGCTCCTATATTTTCCATACATTTTTTCTCACTGACTCCTCTAAGAGGTTCTCTTCAGACACCCAAAGAATGTGTTCAGTCACCACAGGCTTCCCTGCCCTCTAGTCTGGCAAGACCACTTGAATCATCTCGTTTTTGCCATAACAATGCTGCTTAACAAACAGGCACGAACTTCAGTTATATATTTAATAACAACAAGTGTTTATTGCACATCCATCTGGGGTGGTCAGCTAGGCAGCCCTGTTGCTCTTGGATGGGCTCACTCACATGCCTAGAGCCTTCTGGCTGGTCTAGGTCGGCTGTGGCGAGGATGACTGAGGTAAGGTGGCTGCTCCTCCAGTTGACTAGCATGGGCATATTGTCAAGGCAATGGAAAAGCTGCAAGAATGAGCACGTTCAATCAAGCAAGTGCCTTTCAAGCCTCTACTTGCATCGCGTTTGCCAACTTCCAATTGGTTAAAGAAAGTCACATGGCTGAGGCCAGAGTCAGAGAGAAGAGGCACTACAAAGTTATACAGCAAAATGCATAGACACAGGAGGGATGAAACATCAGGGACTTGAACAGATCTACTGCATCCCTCCAGGAATGAGTGCGTTGGAGATGGGGAGATTCTGGAATTTCCATAGCGCCTTTCCAACAATTCTGGGACTCATGTTCCCTCCCCTGGGCTAGGGGAAATTGATCTAAAATGATTTCCAAAGGGCTTTCCTGTTAACAGAGGATCTTATGCTCAATTTTTACTGAACACAAACTATGACCCAAAGACTCTGACACTTCCCAATTTTAAAATGACGAAATTAAGAGTTTGGGCTTTGTAATCCCCTGGACCTGGACTTGAAGTCTAGGCTTCAGTTTAATAGTTGCATGACCACTGGCAACTCAACTAACTTCTCTGAGCTTCAGTTTCCTCAAACAGAAACAATAATAACTACCATGCAGAATTTGTGTAAAACCTAATTAGAATGAGGTATATAATGGAACTGGTATATAAAAGGTACCCAGTAAATAGAAACCATAGCATTGGTTTCAACTCTTTTAATTGTGTCAGAAGCCTAATTTAAACTAGCTGAATCTTAAACGGGGGGACATAATGAATCATGCAGCTATTATTTCTAGGTATGCACCAGCTTCAGGCATAGCTGGATCCAGGGGCACAAATAATTTCATCAGAATTTTATATTCTCTTTATTTCTTGGCTGTAATTTTCATTGCTTGGCTTCATCCTTCAAATAGGTTTCTTCCATGTGGAGGTCAAGATGTGTGATTCTCTGAATCAATCATGATAGGGGGATGAAAAATTCTCATTGACCAAACCCGAGTCATGAGCCTCCTTTTTAATGGTGTGTAGCAGTGTGATTTGCAGCACAACCAGTAATGCATGGAATGGAGGGGAGATGGATGTTTTCTCATCCAAATATTCATTTAAAGAAAACATCTTAACAGACATAGGCAACATGGCCATTACATTATTATTCTTGTCACCATAGGAGGAATAGATGTAATTTTTAATAATGAGTATGGCATTTTCAATGAAAAATATGTGACTAATGGAATCACTCTGATAGAAGGTATTGCTGCTACCAGTACAATTCACATAGAAGTGTATATGCACACACGCATACATACGCATTTGTGTATGCGTGGAAAGCCAGTCCAGGTATAAATTATACAACTTCAATATAATAATCAAATTATTATTTCATCTTAATACAGTTTTTAATTTTTAAAAATTCTAATAGACTATTTTTTAGAGAAATCCTAAGTTTACAGAAAATCGAGGTAGACAGTGCAGAGTCCCCACATATCCCCTGTATTAGTCTGCTGTGGCTGCCATAACAAAATACTACAGGCCGCATGGCTCAAACAGCAGAAATTTATTTTCTCACAGTTCTGGAGGCTGAAAGTCCAAGAACAATTTGGTTTCTAGTGAGGCCCGTTTTCCTGACTTGTAGGTGGCCACCTTCTTGCTATGTCCTCACGTGGCTTTTCTCTGTGCACTTGCAAAGAAGAAAGAGCTCTGGTGTGTCTTCCTCTGCTTAGAAGGACACCAGTCCTATTGGATTAGGCCTTACCCTTATGACCTCACTTAGCCGTAATTATCTCCTACAGCCTTTGGGAGGTGGCTGGGTGACTAGGTCATGAGGGTGGAGCCCTCCAGAGAGCTTGCTGCCTCTCTCTCTGCTCACTGTCACTCATGTGAGGACACCTCCAGAGGAGCTACTAGTCACCGAACTGCACATACACATGAAGTTGCAGGCTCTGAGAAGAAGGAATTACCAACGCTGACATCTCCAGAACAAAGGCTCTGATTAAGGTATGTGTTATATGCATGTTTGGGGAATGAGTAGTCAGGGACACTTTTATGTTCTTGAGGGTAGACAAAGGGAAGACCAATATTTCAGAGGTCTGGGCACAAGAGGTGAACTTTTTTTTGATTTTTGAGTTTTCTCAGAACCCACAAACTCTGTGTGTGTCTTAGTGGCTGCCCATGCCTCTGGCTGAGGGGAGAAAGTCATGCCATTTTCTCTGCAGGATGTCAGGAGGGAGTCAAAGCTCCTGTAAGAGTAGGATGGTTGATAAGGAAAGATCCCTTGTGTCACCAGGCATCTGCGGGGCTCTGTCCTGGAACTGGGCACAGTACTTCTATGAGACAACTGAAGGACACCTGGGGATTGTTTTCAAGGAAGGAAGCTGGCAAACCAAACAGTTCACTCTACCCACAAGATATAGAATATGAGAAAGAAAAGGGTTTTGGGGCAGACAGATGTGATTTCGAGTCCTGGCTCTATTGCTTCCCCCTCTGTGTGACTGTAGGCACTGAACTGAACTCTGTGAGATTCAGATATAATCACAACTCCGGAAACAGAAAGGAGATATTAGTGCCTGCTTCACAGGGATTTATGAGAAATAAGTGATGCATCTAAAATTTCTGGTCCCCCTTAATAAATGGTAGGAATATTATTAATGCTTTCCATGGATTTTAATAATGAAAGAGAATGGAGAAGTGTGGATTGGGTATCAGTAGGAAGGAGCTGGGTTGAGGATCTATTGTTATTCTAGCATGTTAGGAGAGAAAAACAGAGCAAAACAGAAAGTGAACTAAAAATTGTTTTAAAAAAGATAACTGAAGGTCAGGCATGGTGGCTCACTCCTATAATCTCAGCACCTGGGGAAGCCGAGGTAAGAGGAGTTCAAGACCAGCCTGGGAAACATAGCGAGACCCCCATCTCTACAAAAAAATAAAAAAATCAGCCGGGCATGGTGGCACATGCTTATAGTCTTAGCTACTTGGGAGGCTGAAGCAGGAGGAGTGCTTGAGCCCAAGAGGTGAAGGCTGCAGTGAGCTAGGATGGCACCACTGCACTCCAGCCCAGGCAACAGAGCAAGACCCTGTTCAAATAAATAAATAAATAAAAATAAAAATAAAGTAAAAGACAAATAGGAAGGCAGATGTAAGGGAAACTATTGTTTCTGGATATAACAGGCAAAAAAAAAAAAAAAAAGAACCAACTCCATACTTAAGAAACTATGTTATTTAAGTTTATTTTGGGACCATACTTAAATAAAATTAATATCTTTAAAAATTAGCTGGGTGCAGTGCCTCATGCCTGTAGTCCCAGCTACTCAGGAGGCTCAGACAGGAGGATCGCTTGAGCCCAGGAGTTGGAGGCTGCAGTGCTCTGTGATCAAGCCTGTGAATAGCCACTGTACTCCAGCCTTGGCAACACAGTGAGACCTTCTCTCAAAAAAAAAAACATTGCTTGCTTGTTTAACATTTCAAATTATAGAAAAGTGGCATAGTGGATAGGGAAGTCTGAATGTAAAGCAAACAAATGCCTTGGAAAAATAATATGTCTGGACTGAAATTGCATTGAATGTATATAGCAATTTGAGAAGAATCATCATGTTTTACATGTTGAGTCTCCCCTTCCAGGAATATAGTATATATTTCCTTTTAATTGTGTCTTCTTTTATGTCCTTCAACAAAGTTTTATAAGTTTTTACAGAACTGAATTGCAATTTTTATTAGGTTTATTCCTAGTAATGCTAGTAATTTTTGTGGCTAGTATGTTTGGGATCATTCTTCTATTGAATTTTTAAAATTAGTTATTTCTGGAGTTTAAGAAAGCAATTAAAAGAATGAATTAAACTTATAAGTATCATGCAGATATATCTCTAAAACAATAAGCAAAATGCAAAGTGAGAAACATGGTATTATATCATTTATATAAGTTAAAAGTAAACACATACACATAAATATATATATATTGTTTATGGATACATATAAATATGTAGAAGTACTGGGGAAAACTGTTTAGAATGATACATACCAAATTGGTGTTTTGTTTTTTGTATTTTTTTTGAGACAGAGTGTCACTCTGTTGCCTGGGCTAGAGTGCCGTGGCATCAGCCGAGCTCACAGAAACCTCAAACTCCTGGGCTCAAGCGATCCTCCTGCCTCAGCCTCCCGAGTAGCTGGGACTGCAGGCATGTGCTACCACGCCTGACTAATATTTTCTATTTTTAGTAGAGACAGGGTCTCCCTCTCTCAGGCTGGTCTCCAACATCCTGAGCTCAAGTGATCCTCCCACCTTGGCCTCCCTCAGTGCTAGGATAATAGGCATGAGCCACTGTGCCCAGCCCCAAATTGGCTTTAATGATTGCCTCTAGCATATGGGAATTAGTTTGTGTAGTTAAAGGAAACTTTAGCTTCATCTCTACTGGGAAGGGAAGGGAAGGGAAGGGAAGAGAAGACAAGGGAAGGGAAAGAGAGAGAGAGAGGAAGAAAGAAAAAGAAAGAAAGAAAGAAGAGAGAGAGAGAGGGAGGGAGAGAAGGAGGGAGGGAGGTAGGAAGGAAGGGAGAAGAACCCAAAGCAAATACGACAATATGTTAGGAGTTGCTAATTCTATATAATAGACCCATAGGTATTTATGTTTTCTTTGTAAATTTTGGCTTTTGTCATCCACCTAATTCCCCTGCACTAGCTTGGGGTGCCACTAGCAAAATATCATAGACTGGGTGGCTTAAAAAACAGAAATGTATTTTCTCATAGTTCTGAAGGCTGAAAGTCCAAGACCAAAGCGCCAACAAGGTTCGTTTCTGGTGAGGCCTCTCTTCCTGGCTTGCAGATCACCACCTCCTCATTGTGTCCTCATATGGTCTTTTCTCTGTGCATAAGGAAAGAGAAAGAAATTTCTAGTGTCTCTTTCTCTTCTTGTAAGGACTTTAGTCCTATCAGATTGGGGCCCCACTTTTCTAACCACATTTAACCTCAATTACCTCCTTAAAGGACTTGTCTCCAAACGGTCACACTGTGGGGGAGGGCTTCAACATATGAATTTGGAGGGGACACAATTCAGTTCATAACATCCCCATGACTTTTTAAAAATAAAATATTTTTAAGGAATGAATCTCTTTTACGTGCCTCTGTGACCAGGTCCACCTGCCCTGATGGATTATACACTTGAGCCCAATGTGACAGCAATTACTGACGACTACTATCCTGGTATCTTCTCAAGCCCCTGCGATGGGGAACTTATCCAGAGGGACAGCAAGTTGCTTCTTGCCATCTTTTATTGCCTTCTGTTTGTATTTGGTCTTCTGGGAAACAGCCTGGTCATCCTGGTCCTTGTGGTCTGCAAGAAGCTGAGGAGCATCACGGATGTGTACCTCTTGAACCTGGCCCTGTCCGACCTGCTCTTTGTCTTCTCCTTCCCCTTTCAGACTCACTATCAGCTGGACCAGTGGGTGTTTGGGACTGTGATGTGCAAAGTGGTCTCTGGCTTTTATTACATTGGCTTCTTCAGCAGCATGTTCTTCATCACCCTCATGAGCGTGGACAGGTACCTGGCTATTGTCCACGCCGTGTATGCCATAAAAGTGAGGACAGCCAGAATGGGCACAGCCCTGAGCCTGGTAGTATGGCTGACTGCCATTATGGCCACCAGCCCACTGCTAGTATTTTACCAAGTGGCCTCTGAAGACGGTGTTCTACAGTGTTATTTGTCTTACAATCAGCAGACTTTGAAGTGGAAGATCTTCACCCACTTCGAAATGAACATCTTAGGCCTGTTGATCCCATTCACCATTCTTCTGTTCTGCTACATTAGCATCCTGTACCAGCTGAGGAGGTGCCAGAACCACAACAAGACCAAGGCCATCAAGTTGGTGCTCATTGTGGTCATTGCATCTTTACTCTTCTGGGTCCCATTCAACATGGTCCTCTTCCTCACGTCCCTGCACAATATGCACGTCTTGGATGGGTGTGTCCTGAGCCAGCAGCTGATTTATGCCACCCATGTCACAGAAACCATTTCCTTCACTCACTGCTGTGTGAACCCTATTATCTATGCTTTCATGGGTGAGAAGTTCAAGAAACACCTCTCAGAAATATTTCAGAAGAGTCGTAGCCACATCTTCCTCTACATAGGAAGACAAATGCCCAGGGAGGCCTGGGAAAGGCCGCCGTCCTTCCATCAGCACTCCTCCCATTCCTCCAGCACAGACTACATTTTGTGAGGATCGGTGAAGAGGAAATATAAAAACACTTTCTTGAGCAGCACGCTAGCAGCAGTGAACAGAGGTGTGAATGTGGAAGGTTTTCCAAAAGAGTTTAGCGGGAAGGATGCTGTATATGCTGTTGCCAACATTTGGAACGGAGACTAAAGACACAGTGGTGCCTGCCTGGCCTGGTCTGTGACTATGTTTAGTGATGATGATGGACAAGGTGGTGACTTTAAAGTATTCTGTATGTCAGGTGAGAAAAAATGATGTCTGACCTCCTTATATATACAAAAAATATACCTTCAGAGTCCATTAGCATGCTGGAAGAAGTGGATATCGAAAAGTTGTTAACATCAAAATGAGCCCCCAGTTGTGTGTTCATTGACTGATGGTGAAACAGCCAAAATGGTTCTTAATTGAGATGATTATAATAATAGTGACAATGCGGATGACATTATTTACACTGCAGAAAACGTGCCTGTAGACAATATGGTGAAAATATGTGATGGGCTTATTGAAGGACTAGAGCAGTGTACATTCATAACAGAACAAGAAACCATGTCAGTTTATAAAATCAAAGAGAGACTTTTAAGACAAAAACTGTTGATGAGGCAGATAACTCTGGGGGAAATGTTTTAAGAGCCATACAGCAGAATGGCTCCTTATCCCTAGAAGACCCACTTCCTGGTCCCTCAACTGTGTCTGATGTTTATTTCTCGCCTGAAAAATAAAATACAGTGTACACAGCTTTGTAGGTGGAGACTGGAAACTTGCCATTGTTTGTCGTTGCTGCTTAACCGCGGATCCAGGTATTCTGCTGAGGCTATTGTGCTGGTTAGTTACCCCGAGCACATGATTTTTTATTTTTTCACTGTATTAATGGTACTGTCATTTTTTCAGTTCTAAGTACTTTCGTGTGAATAAATGTAAGAAATGATTGTTTATCAGAAGCATAGAAATTCAGAGTCAGACATGATGGCGAGGTCAAACAACCACAGGTAATCCACATTATCTGAGATAATGGCACCGTTGCTTTCTGATGGCTCAGTGTACACAAACTTTGTTTCTTGCACAAAATTATTAAAAATGATGTGTACCATTACCTTTAGCCCATGCATAAAGGTGTATATGAAACACAAATGGATTTCATGTTTAGACTTGGGTCCCATCCCAAGATATCTCACATGCAAATACTCCCAAATCTGAAAAAATCCCAAATCTGAAACACTTCTGGTCCCAAGCATTTCAAATAAGGGATATTCAACATGTATATTAAAATCTCTGTGATCGTGGGTTTGTCTATTTTTCATTTTAATTCTGTTATTTTTTGCAGTATATATCTTGAAGCAATGTTATTAGGTGCAGAAAAAATAAGATTGTTGTGCCTTTTTATCGAATTGACTCTTTTATCATGAAGAAATGCCGCCTTTTCTCCAGTAATACTTCTTGTCTTAAGGTCTACTATGCTCATCATTAATAGAGCCACACCAGCTTTTTTTGGATTAGTGTATGTGTTGTGTATTTCTATATTCTTTTGTTAAATACTTTACACCAAAATGTTCTCCTATATTTAAAATGTCTCTTTTGTAAGCAGACTTTAGTTGGGCTTTTTCCCCCACAGAGAGAGAGGAGGTTTTTATCACCATGAGGAGACATAGTATGGCTCCTCGCAAGCAGGCCTCAGGTTTGTAATCCAGGCTTCCAAGGCAAATCCTTGGCCCACTGGAGTCCAGCCAGTGGTGCTGACAGGCACCTGGCCTCTCTGCCTCACCAGTCATTTCCCTCCCGTCACTTCCTGACTGCCACACACATCTCCCCCAGCTCATCAAGCCAGGGTGTACTCCTAGCATAGGTCATCTCCTGATGCGGAAGGTGACATGGAACTCCACGTCCCAGCACATAGACCCCCACATTCACATAATATTCCAGAGTCATTTATGTCCCTGCACACATCATCACTGGTGTCTCTAAGCAGTCTGTACACTTGGAGAGAGTTGGTTTATTCCAAGCAGAAGCCAAAGAGTACCGCTATCTGTATTTTTAAAATCCAGTCTAATAATCTTTGTCTGTTACTTGGAACGTTTAGTCCATTTACATTTAATAAAATTTATAAAGCAGATCTAGGGGAAAATGGCAGATTAGCAGTGGCCTCCAGGACCACTGCTCCCAGAGAAGGAGGCAAAGAACTCGAATGGCTACCCATGAGTGGATCACTCCCCTGCCATCCTGCTGAGAACAGCATTGTGAATCTGCAGAGATACAGTGTGGGACACGCAGCATAGGAAAAAGGTGAAAGGGAGATACGTTGGCAAAGACTGGAGAGTGCAAGAAATACAACAGGGAATGGAGTGCAGCATGGGAGGGCTGCGCCTGCCCAGCCGGCCAGCACTGTGCGATCTGCCCCACAGGAGGATGCCCGGCTCACCCACAGCCCTCCACACCCACTCAGACAGGGACACACCTGATGTTGGTGCAAAGTCGTGGCACAGTACGACAGGCTTTGTGGAGAGGGGACAATAGTGGGAAACATTTTCAACTCCCCGGTGCTCTGTGCTAGGCCCACACTGGGCCAGGCAGGGACTGGTCTGAGCAGTTACTTCCCGCCGCCACCGCACAAGGGACTTTGGGGACAGGCACTTTGCCTCTGGTGGGCAGCAGGACCACAGCACAGGAGGTAAACGCCGAAAAGGGGGCTCTGCCCCTGGAAACCACTGGTGATTGGTCAGCTCAGGGTGGGGCAAAACGACCAGGGCCCTCTGCTAGGCAGACCTGAGACTGCAGGACCATGATGCAGAGGTGACAGCTGGCAGCCTGTTGATTCAACCTGCTGGACTGGCTTCTGCCAATTATTGAGTGGTCGCCCCCAATGCTAGCTCTCCAGGGGTGGGAGGCCTCCATTTTTGGGGTCCCCAGCCCGGAGACATGACCGCACAAAGCGGTTTTGGGAAACACCCCTCCCCCAGCCGGAGGACTTTCATGCCAGGTGTGGAGGACTCTGCCCTTGGAGGTGGTGAGAAGCAAGAAAAGCCACTTTCTCTGTGCAGCTGGCGTGAATCTGCAGGACTTTGGTGCTGAAAAATAGTTGGTGACCTGCTGAGTCCGCTTGCCAGACCAGTGTCAACTGGCGACTCTTGAGTTCTTGCCCCTAATGCTAGCTCCCCAGGGGCAGTTGGCCACCATCTTTGGGGTCCCCAGCCTGGAGATGTGGCTGCACACAGTAGTTTCAGGCAACACCCCTCTCCCAGCCCAGGGACTTTTGTACCAGGCATGGCAGACTTCACTTTTTGAGGTGGGGAAAAGCAAGAAAAGCAGTTTTCTCTGTGCAACTGGCATGAATCTGCGGGACTTTGGTGTTGAAAAATAGTCGGTGGCCTGTTGATTCTGCCCGCCTGACTGACTTAGGTCATGTAATAAGAACATAACTCCAGGGCTTGCTCTCCAGGTTCCAGCAGCCCCTAGCATTAGGCTTTGTGGACAGGGAAGGAAAAACCTGGCTAGAGACCTCAGCAATTGCACCAGTTGACCCCTCCCATCAGGAGCAGCCTTCAAGTGTGGTAAAAGAGCCCTAAATAACATACTAGTGGCTCCCCCTAGCGGCAGGTCGAGCAACCATAGACGCACACTTACCCAGGCTTGTGTGCACCAGCTGCAATCTATCTTGCCCCTACTCCCACCTTAAGGGGAACAGGGTCCAAGAAATCCTTAGAGTGGCAAGGCCCCTCCCAAAGATTGGGGCATTTGTATACCTCATCCAGGGGACTAGAACCTAGCACAGAGACATCAGATTACCTCAATAACTGGCTCCTCCATGCAAACTACAATCAAGAACACAGAGTATAACCCAATAGCTTAACACAATGCCTTCCATCTCAAGCTATTAGAGGGCAGTGGAGTCATACCCATAAGGGCAGTCCACCAGCTTGGAGCTTAAGCTGGGGACAAAACTCACTAGTCTCCATTGGCAAGAGGTGAAGATAAAAAGTCAGAGATAACCCAAATTGCTAAAATGCCCCTAAGGTAATACAGGACCAGAGGCCTCTCCCCAGCTCTGTCAAGGAACAACCCTTGGGGACTCTGAAATAGGGCCATAAACCTGTCCTAGCATGCCCAGTTCATGACCAAGAAGCCTGATAAGAAAGAATCAGCAAAAGATTGCAGGAAACATGACAGATCAGAGAGAAAAGTCACCCCCAAAAGAAATAATTAGCTTCTCAACAATGGATACTAAACATAAATGAAATGATTAAAATGACAGAGGAAGAATTCTGAATATGGATTGTAAGAAAACTCAATGGAATTGAAGAGAAAATAGAAACCCAACACAAAGAAGCCACAAGAACAATACAGGAAATGAATGAAAAATTCTCTAAACAAATTGAAGTATTATGAAAGAACCAAACAGAAATATTGGAAATGAAAGAGGCATTTAAAGAACTACATAACACAGTGGAAACCCTTAAAAATAGGTTGGATCACACAGAGGAGAGAATCTCAGAGCTTGAAGGTAGTGCCTATGTGCTAAACAAATCAGATGAAGAAAAAGAACACAAAAGCAAGAGACATGAACAAAACATACAAGAAATGTGGAATATGTAAAGAAACCAAACATAAGAATTATAGGCATCCTGGAGAGAGAAGAAGAAAATACACAGGGCTAGAAAATCTATTTCTTGGAATAATGGAGGAAAACTTACCTGGCCTGGCCAGAAATCTAGATATCCAGGCACAAGAAGCACAAAGAACTCCTGGGAGACTCAATGTAAAAAGGCAATCATCACATCACGTAGTTATTAGGCTGGCCAAAGTAAACATGAAAGAGGCAATACTTTGAGCAGTGAGACAAAAACAGCAGGTAACTTACAAAGGAAAATCTATCAGACTAACTGCAGACTTCTCAACTGAAACCTTACAAGCCAGAAGGAACTGGGGACCCATCCTCAATCTTCTAAAACAGAATAATGGCCAAGCTAGAATTCTTTATTTGGCAAAATTAAGCTTCCTATATGAGGGAGAAATAAAGACTTTCTCAGGCAAGCAATCACTGATGGAATTTGCAAAGACCAGACCTGCGCTGCAGGAAGTACTTAGATCTGCATTATATGCTGAACAGCACATTAGACACTCACCAATGTAAAAACACTCAAGAGTTAACGTCCAGAACTCTGATTCCACAATGGCTCAAGAGGTAAAACAAAACAATAAGAATTTATCAAACAATATGAACACAAATCTACCCCAAATATCAATTCTCTCAATAAATGTAAATGGCTTAAATTGTCCACTGAAG